TTCTAGAAGAAATCATGACACGTGTTAACTACTTGCCCTCGAAGTCCAGAATAATAGCGTCTATGGAGGAAATGGATCACACTAATCAGAGAGTGGTGGTCAAGAAGCTAGAGTATGTTCCACCGCAGGTTTGCTTGTTTTCTGTTAATGTCAGTCTACAGATCTAGGTTCGAATCACAGCCGGATCTTTAATTTCCTGGTAAGGTTGAAATGGTGCTTCAAAATAATAGATAAATACTATTTGGGTTCGTTTTGTCGGTTTTTTTAAATTCTTTCTATCAGTTCTGATCGGAAATATTCTTTTGTTGTCTTAAGCTGGATGTGATAGAGGCTCTTCAGCAGATGACCCCATCAGTTGCCAGGGAAACTGTGGAGATAGCAGAGGTCAACCCGCGACCCAGTCCAGAGTTGATAGCCGATGAGTTGATGTCCTATCCCGAAGTGAAGCGCCAGAAATTATTGGATAGTATAGACTGTCTGCCTTCAGACGAGGCAATGACAAAGAAATTAAAGATTTTGAACTTCGAAGAACAAAGACAGGTAATTACCGATCAAGAAACGTTATCTCAGTTTTTGTGTTATCAAAGTCAAAGATTTTCATTTTTTCAATGCGTAATACTGCAATTTCCTGAATTTGTGCATCTTTTTGGGATCTGAATTGTCCGTTAAGATTCGATCTACTTAGTTTACTTTCATTAGGGATTAAAACTAGGTCTAAGATGAAATACGGAGACCAAGAAAGTCGAAAGGTCAACTTTGCTGATACTCGAACTTCGCATTTTTTTTGCCAGCTGATTTATTTTTTTAGTTGTTTGAATCGGGTGCTCTGAAACTGCCAATTAACAGAGACGATATTGTGCACTTTTTCGGACACGAGCCCGAATCAGAAATCAGGACCATCTTCAAAACAGTTGGACCCAAAGTGCTGAACGAAGAAATTGTGTCCGAATATTTGAAATCTCTTTCGAAGGCAGAATTGAGCCAATTAATGCTAATGTCGAATTTAGAGGTCATTGTCAAAGACGACCAACATGTGAAAGAATATCTGTTGTCGCTTGATGTTGTGAAACAGAAGAAGATTGTCGAGGAATTAGAATGCTTTACCGAATATGATGAGGTCGTTAAACTAGTCCGATCTATAAGTGTAGAACACAAGCAGACTTTAGCAAGGGATTGTGGCTTACCTGTAAAACCAGATGTCGATGAATTGGTGACGTATTACTTCGAACTCTCAATCATGAGACAAAAAGATTTCATAAAAGAGATCGGATACCTCCCGAACGCTTCGGAACTTGCAGAAATGTTGCGATCATTCGGTACGGAAACTATTGCTCAGGCTATTTTGACAGCGGGTCTGATTTTGCCGAGATCAATTTTCGGACCAGTTAAAACAGCGGATGAGTTAGCCCAAATGGTTGAAGATACACCTCGACCTTTAGTGAACCAGGGGTTACGGAAGGTCGAATTCCGAGCGGACGTTGACCTGACAGCTCTGTCGTTACGAGATATGACTCAGGAAGATTTCTGTCGGGCGGTGAATTCTTCAGGAAAATGTGTGCCTTTAGGGCCAAATGAACTTAGGAATCAATTCAGCTTTTACTCCATAGTTATTCGAAATAAGTATCGTATGAAAACGGTCGATCAATGTTTCAACGGCATACTATGATCTGTGAATCTGCCATCTGACTTCACTTAAGCCGAAACTTTTTTGTCATTTGTCGTGTTCTATTTTTCAAACAAAAAAATCGTTGGAGAAAATGTTTTCGCGCAACGAATAGTTCAGAAAATTTATACCGGTGTGGTTCTTAAAATTTGGTTTGAGAATATTCTTAACCCAAATGAGTTTTGTGTCGCCGATTAAGGAGATCTTTTAAAACAGACTTTAAAAATAGTTGGGCTCTGGCTGATTTTATTCAAAATCAAAATAAATTGTGGAGACAAAAATTGAATTGATCCGATCAATTAGATGCGCCATAGCGAGCTTGAGTGCGAGTGATGCGGGACTAGTGGCCACTGGACTGAGCCCGGGAGGAGGGGCTGATTACCAGATGGCCAGTGTGCTGCTGAAGCGAATGAATCACGCCGACCAAATGAAGGTCATTTGCAGTTCAGGTCGTTCTTCAATTCTTTTTCTTGCAATAGATATATCCTTTTTCTTTACAATTTTTAGCTATTCTTATATATTTCCTGTTTGATAAGAACAGGTATTATGAAAATTCCTGTTTGATAAAAACAGGTATTATCAAAATGTGTGGGGATCGGGTTTTCTTATTTATTTTTTTTGAGACTCTGTTTTCAAAAATTTAGTTTTTCTCAAAAACTACTCTACCGATTTTCAAAAAAATGGTACCGATAAGAAGTCCGCCCACTACCCTGTGTGCCTGCATATTCCCGTAGTCACTTTTTACCTTACCCCACTTTTTACAGCCTTCGAAAAAGTGTGTGTGTGGTGGGGGGGGGGGCGGGAGTTTTTGACGCAATTGTTTTTTTGTTTTTTATTTTCTCGAGAACTGCCCTCCCAAATCTGTGGTTATCCAGCCAAATCGAACTAAAGAAATCCACTCCTAGTTATCTCTATAGGAGAAGCAACAAAGGTTCTGGGTGGAGCCCAGTATTTGGAAGTACCCTTGTCCTTCCGCATCAGTACAGAAAATTCAAAAATTATCAAACAGGCAGGGTTGTTATGTTTAAAACACCATATTTTTTAAACGGTGTTTTATACGTTTGTTTTTTATTGCTGTTTTCTGTTATTGTTGTTTATTTTGCTTTTTCACAAAATACAAGCATCGAAGCTTATGGAATTTTCTCGCGATGTGTTGTTGGTCTTGAGCGCATTTTCAGCTCAATGATTTTTGTCAATAGCGATCTAAGAAATCGACTTGGACCACAGAAAGTTTCCAAATTGGCTTATTGCTTAACTGTTCTCAATGAGAAACACTGAATTTATCCGAGCAATAAAATTTTCTGAAAAGTTCGTTTTTTCTCGAGTTTAGAGTCAAAACAGTGTTTTAAAATGTTTAAAACAATTTAAACGTTTAAAACGTTTTTTATTTATTAAAAAAAAACAGAATTTTAACTACCCTGCAAACAGGTGTTTCTAGCTTTAGCTGGCCTCTAGTTTAACTAGTGATCCAGGAAGCTTTTCTCGGGTTATTTTCCAGGTACATTTCATCAAGAATTTATCTAAAAGATTAACTTAGCGTTGATCATTTTTGAATTATCAAATTTAATTAAGAAGCTTATTTTTTTTAACTGCAAGGCTTCTTTATAGGCTCTGGCGCTATAGAGGCATCGGACAGTGCAGTCGGAATGTACCTCCGGAGCATCGAATCAACCAGAGTCAGTCACATACTGAAAAGCAATGACATCGGACTCAACAACTTCGACACCATACTAGGCACTTCTTCCTAAACCTCTTAAAGCATCTAAGTTGAATTGCAGTTAATCTCGATTATAATTTATGGTAAAACAATTAAGCTATGTTCGATGGACAAAAATTTGTTGACTTAAGTTTATGAAACTTGCGTTTGTGTGCTTTTAGACACAGGTTTTGAAAAATCTTAGGGAATTACAGTTGGGATTTTTATAGAGACTAAATTGAACGAAAACGAGAGCTGTTCATTAACTCTATTATTATGATTTGATATCCACAATCAGAAGTTCTATTGTTTCAGTCATGGCTCTGTAAATGTGAAGAAAGTTTTCAAAAATAATTTTTTAGTTGTCAGTTTTTGTTACGATTAATGCGTATGAAAAATTTAGCAGGAAATTTAAGAAAATATAGGGTAAGGAAAAAGGAGCCGAATTGTAGACTTCGTGAGAAGCATGGATGACGCACAGTTTAGCAGACTCATCCGTGAGTCGGGACTCACTCCTGAACTGGACATGGACACTTTGATCAGATGCACGAGACAGATTGGCCAGGCGGGATGTCAGCGGATTTTCGCGGCTCTCGGGTTCGTGCCGAACCGCGAGGATGTGATCAGTATGCTAAAAGAAATTGGTAAGCACGTGAAGATTGATGTAAATGAACTGTGAAAATTCATGCAAGTATTTAAAGCCGATGGTGAACTGGGCGAGCTGTGAAATTGAGCTATAGAGAAAGGATGTACATGCTGAAATTGTTTCTGCTTTCGAGACGCTTTTGCCCTTATTTTTTCTGCATTCTCACTAGCAAAGTGTACTTGAGAAAGAAAATGGTCCGAGAAATAACTAAAGGTGTATGCGAGAAAAAACTTTTTTTGCCAATTTTCCTTGCCCAGTAAAATAAACGTGAAAAAAAACCCGAAATGTTTTTTTTTCAAGAGGAATGTTAAAAATTAGTATGTCATTTGCTATATCCATGGGTCATTTACCTTATCAAGGGATGTGCAACTATTATTCATTATGGACATGCCCAAATGTCTACTTCAGAGCCCCACATGCGCAGTGAGATCATAATGGACAGTGAGTTCTGCCCTGACATCGCACAGATGGTGAAGATGGGAGAGTATCTGTCTCAGGAGGAGAGGAGACAAGTAGCTGAGATGATGAGAGGCAGCTATGAAGTGACGGAGGATGATGTACTCAGGAGCATGAAGAGATTGAAGTTAGTGCTTATTAAAAGTGTGTTCACATTTTCTAATGGCTTATGAACAAAGATTTATGAACAAAGTAGTTGGGCTGACATTTTTTTTTGCAAAATTTAGGCATATATTTTAGCCGGTTGGTCTTTGTTTCGTGAATAATTTAGAATTACAAAAAGAGTGTAATACAAAATACTCTAATTGGCAAAATACGCAAAAGGGCTTATTATACCCGAAAATCTGGGTATCTATGGGGGAAAAAACAAAAACTTACTCGGTCTGAAGGTAAATTTTAATCTAATAAATTTAAAATAGTCTAAAAATAAATCATCAAATTGTATTTCTGGAGTTCATTTTGAAGCGGAATATTGTCAAATAGTTTTTGTCTCTTTTTGTCTTCACATTGAATTGCAAATGCCGATTCAAATTCCTGGCAGTTTTTTAGGAGAGAAAACATCGCCAATTTGTTGAAAGAAATCGGATTCTGTGCAGATATTGACGGAGTTGCAGCTGGTCTGCGGAACCTACCATTTGAACATCAAAGTAGTGCTATTCTTGAAGGAGCAGGTGATGTCGCAAAATTCGTGGAAGAAAACAATTTAGCAGAATCCATGAAACGACTAAGACCTGATCAAGTACAAAGAGCTCTGAAAGCAGCGGGAATCGAAAACGAAGTGATAACGAAAGAAAGTATGGAAGTATACGTTAAAAACATGGAAGCCACTGATGTTTCTGATTTTTTGATGAGCGCGGGAACCGGCGATACGATTCTTGCCGATGTTCTGAGGTGTCTCCCTCTTGATCGAGTGATTCAGATTCTAAAACGAGCGGGAATTTTTCCTTTTGACCCAGAAATTATGGCTCAGTCGTTTCAACTTATGGTAGACGCTGCTCAGGCAAAGTTTTTTGCTAGTATTACAATATCAGATCCAGGTGTTCTTAATGGGTTCACGAAGTATCCTCTGGTGTTCAAACGAGTGCTCATGATGAGTATTGATTATCTGCCTAATACGGAAGACCTATCTAGTTTTATGCGGCAGCATAGCCAAGAAGGTAAAAGAGAAATAATAAATGCTATTGATTATCAGCCAACAGCCGCAGATATTGTGTACGCATTTCGATCAACGCCCCCTAAAGACGTTTCGGTAATGATGCATTCGGCGGGAATAGAATTGTACACTTTGGAAAGCGACTGTATAAGAGCATTCAAAGATAACGGCCATGAATTTGCAAATCGTGTTATGAATGGATCTGGTGCTTTTTGTGACAAAGAAACGTTAGAAAGAGGACTTCTAGCTTTGAATCCAATGGAACAGCAACAGGTTGTATGTTGCGTTGGAATTAAACCACCCTTGTCCGAACCTTTACTACTTGAGACACTGAAGGTTCTCAGACCCGATGAATGTAAAAGAGCCTTGAAGCAAGCTGGGTTTCATTTTGACTCAGAAGAAGAACTCACAGAGCTAATGATGAGAAAAACAAGACCGCAACAAGAAGAAATTTTGAAGAAAGCCGGCGCTAATTTTGTGCCCCTGACTGAAAGAGGGATGAGTGATGGTCTAGCGACGTTTACGCAAGAAAAGTTGCGCCAAGTTTTGTCGATGATTAACAAGTATCCACCGCCTTATGTGGACAGTCTTGCTGGATTCAAAGCGCTCACGATTGATAAACAGCGACAGTTCCTAGCGGAATCAGGATCCCGTGCGCTTCCTACAGATGAGCAAATGCTGGAAGGGTTCCAAGCAATAAGAACCAAAGGTGATTTTCTATTGAAAGCGGGCTACATTCCATCTAAAACAGAGTTCATAGAGCTTTTGAGTAGCGCTGATCAAACTATGCGTCGCGAAGTTGTTATTGGAACACCGGTTTCATATACGACAGGTGATGTGAGTAAGTTTTTGAAGTCGCTGATTCCTCAAGAGGCCGAAGCAGCAATCGTCGCTTCGGGTGTAGTAGCTTTGCCTAATGAAGAAATGCTCGTAAGGTCTCTATCTCGGCAGTCGGAAAACGTAATCAGTCGCGTTTTCAAAGAAGTAGGGTACACGCCAGATACGGAAGACGTAATTAGAGGACTACAAGCAAGTAACTATTTGGAAATTGAGAGAATTTTCAGGCTCGCGAATATTAAAAGGCCGGTCGATGAAGATGTGATAGCTGAAGGGTTAAGGACTTTAAGGCCTGATGAAAGTCAGAGAGCAATCAAAAGCGCAGACATCGGAACACCGACGTCAAAAGATATCATCGATGTTCTGAAGACTATGTCAGATTATGAACAGCAGCAAATTGTTAGAGCTTCTGGACTGCAAGTAATACCTGCAACGGAAAGCGCAGTTGCAGAGTATTTGAAAAATAAACTTAAAGCGAAGCAAAGGCAAATTTTAAAGACGATCGACTTTCCAGGGTACCTGGACTTGATTGAAATTGTGAAGGACTTGGATCTCTCGAAACAGTGGCAACTCATTGAAGACGCAAACGTAGACTATTTCCAGCATTTAGTCCAAGATGCTGAAAAACTACAGGTCATTTTAATCGAAGGTTTGAAACACTGTGCTAGTATGCAACAAGCACACGTGATTAAACATTCTTGTGACCGGTTGCCGAGTGACCTGATTCAGTATTATCTGGCGATGTTAGCTCCTGATGAGCGGAAAAAAATCTTTAGGGAAATTGGACCCTATCCGAATGATCACAGTTCATTATGTGAGTTAGTACAAATCGTGAATTGTATGTCGCCGAAAGATCGTCACAATTTTTTGGAGATGGTAGTTTGTGATGACTTACCGAATGACATAATGAAAAAGACTTTCAAAAGTAAAAGGCCGACTGAAATGCAAGAGCTGATATGTGAATTGGAACTTATGTTGGAACCTTACGGACCTTTGATGCGAAAAGACCACGATAAAATGAGGTGTATGGTCATTGAGTTTCTCAAATGCATTTCAGACGTAGATACCAAAGAAATTCTGAAACTTGCTGATAAATGTTTGATCACACTCTTAAGTGTGCCTCCTAAAGATTGCGTTCCCGTTGAACCTGTGACGAGACTCTTAAATACCATGCCTCGTGCCGATGCTGTAGAAGCTGTGGCGAAATCAGAGTTGCAGCTGAAAGCTCAAATTCTGAGATGTCTGCTTTCGGACGTTGCAGTAAGAAAAGTAATGAACTACCCGTCAATCGAAGAGCTTGCAATTGAGATATTGGACCTCAAGCCAAAAGATTTGAGTGCGTTAATGACAAGAGTTATGAACGAAATACCATTTGAACAAATTTTGAGTGATGAGATTTTGCTACGATGTCTGATGGCTATACCAGAAAATAGAAGATACCCTCTAGTTTCAGCGGCTTGCAGTGAACAAGTTTTATGTCCCTATCAGATGCCTGGTCAGGAGCTCTTATCGTACATGATGGGACAAATACCAACTAATACCGCAATTGAAGTGTTACTCCGTTCGGGAAATTGCGAATTAGTAGAGTTATGTACAGGTTTTACAATTATAAAAGCTATAGAGTTCTTAAAGAAGTTGAATTCACATGATTTGGCAAAAGTCCACGATGAGGTTTGGAGTAAAAATGGGTCTCCTTGCGTACACGTTGATTCTTCAGCAATGATGCGAGAAACTGAAGCTCAAATTCGTGCTATGCTTTCACACGAAGTGGACGAATTCAAGCAATGCGTTCAAAACGAATACACGATTCGTGAAACTGAGATCCGAACCCAATATGAGGGAACAATTTTGTCCATGCAAAATGAAGTGGAATCGTTTTTGAAAGGCGAATGTTGCCGTATGGCAGAAAGAATCGTAAAGAATCTGATCGATGGAATGCACGCATTGGCAGTTTGTGCAAATCAAGACTTCGCTTCAAAATTGTCGAGCGAGGAGTCAAAGCAATTAAAAACTAAACAGATTTGCGACGAGGTTTTAGGAGGTGCAACAAGGCAATCAATAACAGTGGTTACTCAAGGTATCAGTGATTTGATCAATGAGTACTGCGCTAAACTGAAAGATGGAATTTGCCATAAGCTGACTCCTAGAAACGGGAACCCAGTTAACCCGGCGGCTGTAAACAGTCCGAGACCAGCAATGGGCGGTGGAAATTGTGGATGTGGTAACATGGGCGGTGGCTGCGGACCCCCTATGTGTGGTAGACCCCCAATTGTGTGTAACCCGTGTGTGGGTGGTGGGGGTAATTTGAACCAAATGAATACCCAGATTAATAGGATGATGGGTCAATTGGATGACATGACGTCGGGTCTGAGGTCTAGAAATAAATGTGGAGGGGGAGGCTGTAAAAAGAGGTGTAGAACTCCGTGTCATTGAGCATGATAGATAGCAGCAAGCTGTTATTGGCCTTTAAAATCTTGATAAAAATGGCGCCCTTGAAACAATGATTTGCCAAGAGGTTAAAAAGACATAGGGTTTTACTTCTTACAAAGCTTATGGAAGTTAAGCTGTTTTGATATCCCCATGTGATTTAATCCGTTCTGGGAACGAATAGATTGAAGTTAGAAGATAATGGAGTATTGTGACTTCTTGAGCGATATATGTTTGATACTCATCGACTGAATCACAGTTCTTGTATTTCGGATTGAGGGGATTCATTACTGATTGAGGGGATGAATATGTAATTACAGCCTGGGAAGCTCAGATAGCTCAGAGAAAGGGAAAAATAACGGAGAAAGAGGAAAAAGAGTAAAATGGTTATTGTATTAGGTTTGTCGCTCTATGTGAGCTCTCACAGTCATGTTTATGAAAAGGCTTAAGACAAATGTTTTCTGGGTTTGACCAAAAAATTAAACCTGATAAAAGACTTCGGAACGGGCTAAACTCGGACCAAATAAATTGCAAAGTTGAGCTGAAAAACGCAATGAGACGAGACAACTGCTTATCAAACAAAGATCGCATTTATTTTTTGCATGTAAAATAATGTATATTATGTACATGACGTTTTATAAACAGATCTAAGTAATATAGTATGTATCATAAAATTATCTTGATTTTTTAGGACAACATTCACTATAAAGTTCCCGAAAGGCGACAAAAAGTTACCATAAGTTCACAAGCAAAGGCTTGAATTAGCTAGAAACTAATCGCCAAAGGCTCCAATTATCTGGAAATTAATCCTGATCTTTTGCAGGGCTGTTAAAATGTTACCTATTTTAATAAATAACAAACTAACGGTTATTTACGATAAAAAACATGTTTTTTTGTTAGAAAATTGTTTTTTTTTCGGAATGATCAAGAACAATTCAATTCCCTGTACAAAAACGCCAGTTTCCCGGCCTTCTCCGGTCCAAGGCTTGTTCTCAATGTCCCGTACGTCATCCCTAGCGTGGAGAATTGCCGTTCGAGGCCGGCACTGGAGGCAATCCCCCCAACGAGGGACTCAGCAATCCCTTGTCAGAGAATCCAATCCTTCTCCCAGTCTTCCACCAAACAGATGGTTTGACCCCAGAATAACTCTCTCCGAAAAGATTTTCTGAATATGAAATAGATTGGCAGCCAGAATTTCAGGAGAGAGAGCGGCTTTTGCACGTTTTGCTACTTTTTCAGCATACTCAGCCGGCGAACCCACACATACTTCGTTCCATATTTGGAAGACACTGCCAACTGTACATGTGTCGCTCTGAAGTTTGTCGAGAGCGATTCCAATGGGTTTAAAAATTTCCAGTAAATCGGTAACTGCTCGTTTCAAGGGAACGTCCTCCATAAATCTGTATATCTGATCTGTGTTCTTCATCGTCGTGTTGATTACCAAAACTATGTTTGACCACTGATCATGGAAATACCTCAATGTGTCTGCGACCGAATTCCAGCGGGTATCGCAAGGCAGGGGTGGTCTTGGCATGTTCAGATTCTTCATTTGAGCGGATTCTTCGTGATGGTTTCGAAATAGGTAACAAGTGTTGAATATTTACATAACAAACAGTTATTTATTTGCTTGTTAAATAACATTGTTAAATAACATTGCAGCCCTGATTCTTTTGCGAAATATATTCTTTGCCAAATAGGAAATAGCTAGATATCCTTTCTATCGTGTAAATGATTAGACAACGTGGATATCCCTTCTGTCTTGCAAGCTTTTCTTAACTCAAAATTTGACTGAAAGGTGTTCAAAATGATGTATTACACGACATCGTGGGGCTTCTTGTGGATCCTGACTTGACATCGAAAAGAAACCGCCCTATTTTACAATCTATTTTAATTTGAGTTCAAAATTTTGCTATACAATTGATTTTCAAAACATGATTTCATTTTTACTTAATTACTTGTGCGATCAATGCGAAACGCTTTTTGCTTGAAAGCAATTTGTATAACAAAGTGCCTGAAACATTTGATGCTTGATATGTAGTGAAGTCAAGTTCAGTGTCTGATTTTGCACAGATGGTGCCTAGGTGACGCTTATGCTTTGGACGACAAGGATTCGAGTTGGGCCAGGATTGTGCCTTTTTGAAAAATGAAAATTTACTGCATAAAAAATTAATTGTCTGATTTCACCTTGCTTTTCGGAAGCCTTAGTTGCCACAACCTCACAAGTGTCTCGGATCAAAGTTAAATAAGCTGAAAACTACATAATTGTAATTTGAGTATTTCACTTCACGATTTTTATTAGACTTCCTGAGCGTGCTATAACTTTTGTCGACAATTAGATAATTATGTGTTTCAAAACATTGTTTTCTCGTCACATGTCAAATTCAAAACGCCGCTTTATTCACAGCCTTTTTTGCTTCATTTAGCGACGTGCAATTTTCTTATAAAGGTAGTGTAGTTCGAAAATTTATTTTCGAGTTGTATATTCTGATCTTGACTTAGATTTTTTTAAACGGATACCTACTCATTTTTCACGCCAAGCTTAACTTGAGCTTGAGTTAACCAACAACGAGTTGAAATTCGTTGGTGTAAAAATGTTCTATTGTTTAAATTTAAGCTGGCCGACAAACTCTTGCTTGGTATCGCAGGTGATGCAAAGCTCTGCTTCACCTCTGTGTTAAAAAAGCGTCAAACATGAAATGAAGTTCGAGTGTTTTTTGAGTTTCCTTGTTCCTTGACATTTTTCCAATTTCCTGTTTGCCACTTTATTTCCTTGTAACTCACCCAATTTCGTGCGTAGTTTAATGACAAGAGATGTTTAAAGATGTTTTGAAACTATGTGTTTGCTGACGAAATTTTGCGATCCTCCAGTGCGCCAGTTTTGAGGCTTATTTATGTTGTTTGCACATTTTTGTTTGGACCATTTGAAAAAATGAGGAACTTTGTTTTTGTGTGTTATAGTTTTTGTATTCCACCCAAAATCAGCTAACACAAAAAAATCATGTGAGTTGGGTTATATATCAAAAAAAATTCTTTCAGCCGTGATTCAAACGGCATTAAAAAATTTCCAAACGTTTTTCGAGTGTCGAGAAAAACCGGTTTAAAATTTTTGTTTTTTTTGTCTAATTTCGAACTATAAAAGCGAGCGAACAGGCTTGCAATAGTTTATTTCAATTGCCTAAAAACTTACAAAAGATAAATTTAAGCCCTAAAAACTTAGTTTTGCTTGAGTTAATTTAGCTTTTTTAAGTATTTTCTGCGTTTTGGAATCAAAAATCCAAAAATTTGGTACAAATTTTTCGAAATTGTTTTGATTTTCGAGTCATTTTTCTACAAAATTTATTTTTCCAATTTGCTAATTTTACCATGACTCGATAATTTAGAAACTAGTTTTTCGTTCAGGTCTTTTTATGGATTATCAAGACTATGGTCGGAATATTCTGTGCTACTTGCACAGCAAAATGCAGTTTGGCTGTGCTTGAAAGTGTTTTGGAATTTTGCTTCTGAAAACTTCATCAGTTAACAAAATTGCGAATTTCACTCAAAGGCGAAACATTCAAATAAATTTAATTCTTTGAACCGAAGATTTTGTAAATTAAGATAAAAAAGTCGGGTCGTGGTATTTAGTCAAAAAATTTGATGGCCTTTTTTAAAGTCGACCAAATTGATGTTCCGAGCTCTTTTAAAAACATTCAAATAGATTTAACTCTTTGAACCGAAGATTTTGTAAATAAAAATAAAAAGTTCTGTCGGTGGATTTTGAGAAAAAAATTTAATGGCCTTATTTTAGGTCGGCCAAAATTTATGTTCCGAGCTCTTTTAAAACTATAAAGACCCTATTGTGACAAGATTTTTGGAGCGCGCTTCCCCTAAATACTAATGCAAGTTGGCGCCAAAGAAGCTTTTGGAAATTCTTATAGGGTCGGTCAGCCGAAAGTTGATGAAAAACAATACCTAATTACGCCCTTGCTTAAAACTGTCATGGAATTTAGCCTCACAGTGATGACTTTTCTATCCGTCTTTTTGTTTTCCAGCGCAAAGAATTGCAATCGGCTCGTGCTTGTGTTCTTAGTGCTTTTGTACTACATAATGTTTTTCGCTTCTCTATGAATTATGTGACTATATATAAGTCTAGTTTTCTTTTTCTTCAGATAATGAATGCTCTTTCTGGATTAGTCGGAGATTACGGCAGTGGGTCCGACAGTTCAGATAACGAAACATCAGTTAAAGAAGTTCCGGAAGACGTTCAAAACTTAGTCAAACATAAATGTCTTCAAGTTGTATCAGCTCCTGATGTTATCACAAAAGAAGAAGTATTTCAGTCTCCTTTTATGGTAGACACCAGTAAACCTCTTGAACTCACCTACAATCCGACTTATGAGGAGCTGTTTGCTCCAGAGCAGGGTCCAAAGAATCCGTTCAAAACTAACCAGGCACTGGCTAAAGCTAATACCTTGACAGGCTACGTGGAGAAGGCGCACATCAATGATTTCCAATTTGATAATCAAAGAAAAACATTTCACAGCTATGGTTATGCAGAAGATCCCAGTTTGGACAGCGGAGGGGTGGTCATTACGAATTGTCATAAGGTAGGACGTGCGACTGAATGAAACCGTATAATGTGCCTCTAAGTCTAATCGCTCCAAGAACAATTCCTTGAATGTTTTTTTTTTACACAAACTTTAGCCAATTTCTATGATTGATATTTTCCTTTATGATTGATGATTGAACTTTAGGCAATTACCTTGATATATCTTGAAACCCTAAAATTTAGGCGGAGCAACCCTAAAGGCGTTTTCGTCGGCGGCACCACACATAGATTAGTTTTGAAGGGGAGCGCGCGCCGAAAAAACGCAATTTTTTGGTCAAATTTTTTTTGAAAGTTGCCTTTTTGACCTTTTTTTCAAACATTTGGACTTGTTTTTTTTCAAAAAACGGCCAGTTTGACCTGTTTTTTTTTCGTTTTCGAAAACTTGCCGGCGGCGCAAAAAAAGGTCGACAAATATTTCTTTCTAAATCCGCTCCATATTTTTTGGATCATTGTTTGAAGAAGCTTTTAATCACTCTTGCTGTCCTGTATCGAACTAGATCTGCCAAGTTTCCTAACCTAGCAAATAGTATTCCAACAGTAAATGTGTTCCAATCAGATCTCGCCGAGAAGGTATGTTGTATTCTAGCATACTAAAAGTTCCCACGCTTGCGATTATTCAAGTAAGCTTTCGTAAATACTGCTGCAGAAATTATTAAAGGGGAGTGTTATGTTCAGGCAGAGATTGGCAAGTCGGTGTTTGAGAAAATGAAGAAGCGTGCGGGTGACAAGAGGGAGCGACAGATTGCGAGTGATCCGAGTGATATAGACGGGTATCTCGGACCCTGGGGAAAGTACGTGGACGAGGAAACAGTGTCCAAACCACCCGAAGAAGACCAGGCATATCTCAAAGAAGTGAGTTGTTTTCTTATGTTACGTCCATTGGGTACAAAAATGTCTCTGAGTTATAACGGTTAATTCACTACGTTTTTACGATGGTTTTCAGGAATAGTTTTTCGGTACATGAAAGTTGCTATGAAAATTCCACTTTTGGTGATTTAAGTTTTGATGATAATTTTCAAAAGTGGTTTCAAGATAAACTCACATGGATAACGTGTTTTAGCATAAGAAAACTAATTGTGGGACAAATTTGCTGAAAAAGTAAAAAAGATATGATACTTTGGAGTTGAAAGTTTGCTTAAACACGTAATTTTTTTTCAGTACAACGAAAAGCGAGCGAAGCGTAAACGCAGAAAAATCGAAGACGGTTCTGAGGAAGTTGGAGATGAAAAATCAACACTACACATTGATGATCCATATGACTACCAAGGACGTTCATTCTTGGTAGCGTCCAAAGACCTAACAGAAGCGGATTTAAATTCATCAGATCCACCTGCTAAGTGCTTCATCCCGAAAGCATGTATTCACACTTATACAGGACATACGAAGGGTCTAAGTGTTATCAAATGGTTCCCGAAAACAGCCCATCTTTTCATGTCGGCAGGTCTAGATGGTAAAGTTAAACTATGGGAGGTGTACAATAAAAGACGATGTGTCAGGACCTACTCTGGACATAAACAAGCAGTGAAAGACTTCGATTTCAATAATGACGGAACCAAGTTCCTAACGGTATCTTTTGATAGAATGATTAAGCTTTGGGACACCGAAACGGGCAAATGTGTCTCGAGATTTACGAATAAAAAGAACCCGTATTGTGTTAAATTTAACCCAGATGAGGGCAAACAAAATTTATTTTTGGTCGGCTGCAGTGACAAGAAAATACACTGTTTTGATATGGACTCTGGTGAAGTTATACAGGAATACGATAGGCATTTGGGTAATGTAAATACGATTACATTTATTGATGAGAACCGCCGATTTGTATCGACTTCGGACGATAAGTCAATGCGCGTTTGGGAGTGGGACATTCCCGTTGATTGGAAATACATCGCTGATCCCAGTATGCATTCAATGCCCAGGGTCGCTCTATCTTTTACAGGAAAGTGGTTAGCCGGGCAGTCGATGGATAACCAGATAAAAATATTCAATGCACCAGCAAAACTGAGAGAAAACAGGAAAAAGGTTTTCAAAGGGCATATGGTCGCGGGTTATGCGTGTGGCTTGGGTTTTTCACCCGACGGAAGTTACGTAATATCTGGCGACGCAGACGGAAAATTGATAGTTTGGGATTGGAAAAGTACGAAATTGTACGAGAGAATAAAAGCACATGATAAAGTGTGTATTGATGTTTTGTGGCACCCGCACGAGGCTTCCAAAGTGATGACAGCGGGATGGGATGGACTCATAAAACTCTGGGACTGAAAGCCTTGAAATTCGAACTCGCTAAATTTGGGCGCCAAAAACAGGTCGAGGAGGGAAGTTATCGAACGGCGTAAAAGGTGAAAGGTTATAATTGAAAAAAACTATTGAAAGTTTTATGCTGTGTTATGATGTTTGCCGATAGTTAGTGAATTCACCTTTGTGTCATTTTTGTTGCCTCTAAATCTAATGAGCTTTTCTGATAGCAGTAAACAACTTAAATATATTTTCTTGAAATTCGAACCCGCTGAATTAAGCCACCAAAAACAGGTTGATGAGGGAAATTTTCGAACGGTGTAAAAGTGAGAATAATTCCTGTTTGATAAAAAAGAGACTTATGAAATTGCATGGGATTTGGATTTTTTGAGACACTTTTTTTTTCAATTTTCTCTAAAGTTTAGATTTTTTGCTGAAACTGCTCAACCAATGTTTGATTATGATGCAATGATGCATAAAAAAAGTGATGCCATTAGAAACACTGGCTGCTACTCTGTCTTTTTTCTACTTTAGCCCCTTTTCTACGACCTTCAAAAATTTTAACGATGGCAATGTTTGACCTATTGGTTTCGATTATTTTCCTCGAAAACTACCCTGCCAAATCTAAAATAATGGGTGCAAGTGAAAAATATGTTTTGAGAAGGTCAACTGCTTGAGAGGCTAGATCCAATTTTTCTTGCACTAAATCTTTATTTTTGAGTTTTTGGCACTTCATCCTCCCGGCATGAGCCCTAATTTACGCCTTAAACAAACTATGGGTATCGGCAGTAGCGGTCCCCCTTTATACTATTTTGAGATATCCAGTTTTGGATGACTGACCTAAAAATTTTTCCAATGATTTTTCAATATACTAATTTTGAGGGAGGAGCGCGCGAAGAACAAACGCGATTTTTTGGTCGAAAATTTCCAAAAAGTGCATAAAAACGCCTTTTTTGGCCTGTGTTTAGAAAAATTTGCCTGCGGCGCACAAAATTTGGTCAATATAGGGTCTTTATCGTGATTTGGGAGAGCTCAGAGAATCAATTTGGGCGAATTTACTTAGAAAAAGTTATGGTTATCGGTGAAAAAATGTTTATATTTTTTACCGTATTTTCGAAATGTTTTGACTTTTGTACCCTGCCAATTCTGAGTTTGAGAACTTATTCGAAAAAAAAACAGGCTAGGAGAAATTGATTGCATAAGCGGCCATGCCCTTAATCGAATATATAAACCGCTTTGGACTTGCAGTAAGTCCATTTTTTTGATATTTTGGTTGTTATTGGAAACCTTTTGTTTCTCAAATTTTACCTTTTCAATTCTATTGTTAAGGGGGTAGTTGAGACAACCGTTTAATGGAGTTTTATTTAGGTCAGAAATAATGTATGTCTTTCGGAAAAGTCAAATGTTTAACCGTGTTTTATTTTTTTTCATTTTTCTCAAAAAATACCCTGCCAATTTTGAGAATAAGACTAGTGGAATAACTAGTTTTTAAGAATTTTCTTGCATATGCGACTTTGCCCTTTTTTGTAGAATAAAAACACGTTTAAGAACTTGAGAAAGTTTTTTTTTAAATTTATGGCTTTCGGAAGAGTAATTTTTTAAAGCCTACAATTATTTGGATTTTTTATTTCTCTCGAAAAATACCCAGATAATGCTCAAATTAAGTTTTGAATTGAAGCATCTTATTTTGGGCAACCGCGCTGAAAAAGCGAGTACTTCTCAATTTAGTGAAAAAATATCTGACTTATTGAACTTTTACTGTTTTTGAAAGCTTGACTTATGGCTTTCGGAAAATTACTCTTCCGAAAGCCATAAATTTTAAAAAAACTTTCTCAAGTTCTTAAACGTGTTTTTTTCTACAAAAAAGGGCAAAGTCGCATATGCAAGAAAATTCTTAAAAACTAGTTATTTCCACTAGTCTTATTCTCAAAATTGGCAGGGTATTTTTTGAGAAAAATGAACCCTACTTTTGAGCCCTACTTCATGTAGAAAAACCGTTTTGGACATCGAGAAAGCCCTTTTTTTCGATATTTCGACCGTTTTTTGGAAGTTTCGACTTTTGACGAAATCTGCCGAGCCAAATTTGAGATGCTAGGATCAATCGAAAAAACAGGGTGTGTGAAACTTATATGCTTGCGTAGCTAAGTCCTGATTTTTTTGGGTTTCTAGAATAATCGTCTGTGAATCAGAAATTCCATTCGGTTCAATCAAAATTAAGGGCTAGAGGCATCTGCCTTTTTTTAGTGGTTTCTCCTAAGTTTAGCAGAGAGATCGTTTTGACTCAACTGTCTAATCACAGACGTACATCCAGCCTTAGCGAGGCCTCGGGTATAACGGATGAAATCTATTGAAAGTTTAAGGGTCCAGAAGCGCCGCCTTCAAGTGGCCGACTCGACGTGATTTCTTTACAGCCCCAAATAGCTTAACCATCTTTCTACAGACAGGAGTTCTACAGCAAAAAAAATGAAATTTCCGGGATTTTATGTTCGGAGGTTCCTATGTTGATCGTGGCGCTCCCTCTATCAATACATTCTTTAACTTTCGTGTCTTTTGACACATGTTAAGAAGTCCTATGTTGACATAGTAAAATGCCAATTAACTGCAGTGTTAAAAATGTTTAATGAACGTTTCAAATTGATCGATATGATTATTTAGTTTGGTCTATCGCCATAAGATTAATTGAATGCAGAATCGCAAGGTCGTCATACAGTTTTCACCAAACGTCCTGGAGCGCGAATGCTTAAACTCAGTGGTCTAAATTTGCAGCCTTTTTTCGCAGCAGAAATTTGAAAAGTTTCTTTTTGGTTGTTAATTTGCAATTTTTGAAAAAAGCAAACCCACGAGGGAGTGTTTTTTGGTTTCTCTCAAAGAGAATTTAAAATTCGGCCTACAAATTTTTCTACTCGGATCTTGTTAGTTTACGAATATTGAAGTTTTTATGGTTTTCAAAATTGGACTTTACTTCTGAAAGTTTACTTCTGAAAAGTTGAAATTCCATTCCTGTGATGAGGGTGGTGTCGGGGTACTCTCCGGGGCTGCAACTTTGCAGTCATTTTATAATTGCTCAACTCATTTTAGTTTCGAGATTTTCGTTTTCATCAATAAGTTTCGAGGTTTCATCAATTTCAAAACATGATATTTGATTGAATTTTTACAAATTTAACATTTAGCAACACTATGGCTGAGTATTTTCAGTTTTTTCCTGGAATTGCAAATCTGGCTTCAAAGTTTAATTGATTGTTATTTTATGAACTGCCTATCATTCGACTAAGAGAATCTTATCCCAAATGAGATCCGGATACAGCCCTTTTCTCAATGCACCGTCCTTTATGCACCGTATTGACCCCAACATCCCGCCGAGCTATCCCACTGTCCTTCCCCTCGCCACTGCCCGTCGTTTTGAGTGTTTTCAGTACTCCCATGTGAAATCCCAGTAAACTTGTGGCTTCGTCCGACTGAAGTTGCGGCATTTGCGGAGGTTGGCTTGAGCATACTGGACTCGTTCCTTTGGAACTAAAAACAACAGTTTAAAATTTTTTGCGGTGTTATGATATTTGTTGATAAGTACTGAGTTCGCCTTGAGTGCCAATTTTTTAATAAATCAATATTTGCTTTTCTGAAAACAGTAATTTGAAAAAATTCACAACTACAGTTTTATAGGTGCTCCAGTTGCTCCAGTCTCGTTTTATCAAACAGGAACATAGAATTTTTCTTGAAAATTTTTTGTTTAACAATATCCCTTAATCTTTTGAATGCTCGATTTATCAAAATCAAGTGTTTTTTGTTTGTTTTTATCATTGATTGATTTTGTTGAAGGGAAATCGATTTTTTTTTTCAAAAGCAACGGCATACCAATGGGCGGCTAATGAGGCAATCGAAGAAGGTTATATTGATGAGAAAACCACCGACAAGAAAGTATCGAGAGTTTTCCCGCTGAGAGATTTTCCCGCTGAAAAATACACTAGCGTCAAATCAAGTGCACCACTTACAGATCTTTTCCGTCAACGAGAAAACTGGTTTAAGAATAAATGTGAGTCGAAAGGAAGGTCCACCGTGTTTTTATTTTCAAAAAGAAAAGTGTTGGACACCTCGGATCATACAGTCGCTTTGAATAACGGACAGCTACTTAGAAAATTGGATTTGATATTCTGTATTCGAGTACTTCAGGCTCCAGGCCAAAGCAGATCCATTGGTGAATTTATCTTGAAATTAAGCAGAAAAAAAGAATCCAATTCTTCCGGCGTTAGGATTGATTCTGGTATTACGGGCCGTTCGTCAGATAGGACCTACACCGAGCAAACGACCTAGAAGGTACGGTCTGCTAATTTCGGGCAGACCGAGACAAAATGTGGGGTCACCGAGGTTCTGGAAGAGCCGTGAAAATCAAACGTTGTTGTGTTGTATTTTTTCATATATCGGCACTCGGCTTTTCAGATCCTTGATATCATTACAATTATTGACAAAGTCCTCGCTATGTCCTACTTATTTGCGCAGCATATTTTTCAAGATCAGCAATAAGTTTTTCTTTTTCATTCAATTTAAAATTCCTTAACTCACTTTTCAAGCTTTTGATTAGGCGTCTTATTCTGGGTTGATCCTTGAAGGCGTGCACACACCTGAAGTTTGCTTGTCATCAATATGATGCAGTTGTAAGGGCTAATAGACAACTTAATTAATTAATGATTAAAAAACGGCAAAAATTCAAATAAACGGCAAAAAATTGGTATTTTTTGCTAGAGGAAATGTTAACTCTTTAAAACAGCCCAGCAAAGTCGACGGCAACTGACCGGTATTCTAGATGTCTGTGATTCGTTGCTGACAAATAAAATTGCGTCGCATATGGCGAAACTTATTAAACAGCCGTCCACTTAATGTTTTTCAGCTTGCGGTTTAGTATGTTGTTAATTTCCTTTTTGTTTGATTATGGTTTCCTGTCAATCAACCAAGCATAATTAAATTACTCACAATATTTCGATAGATCGTTACTCAATTAATTAACAGAGAAGACATAGCCAACAGAAGGTTGGAAAAGCGTAAACTAACAAGCAAACCAAAAAAAAAACGATTGAAAATTTAAAAACATTGCAACTTTCGAATTTTGAAGAAAAAATATCAGGTTAAAACTCTTTGAATATCAAGAACAATTAAATGGTTGACACTTTTTTGATAAATGTAACTCAATTTGAGAAAACTGGATC